ATTATTATTAATTATGTTATTATTTATTTAATTGGAAAATGTTGAAATATTGAAATTATACGGATACTTTAAAATCAGATCAAATGAACAAAAGGCTCGTATTTGTATGATTGGAATACATTTAACTTACTTAAATCGCCACCATAACTATTAATCATTAATGTCTTATTCTTTAAAACCTGTAATGTTGTTATCCTCTGATATATTTTAATTGTTAAATTAGTATTAATTCGAAATTAAATTTTGCTGCTAAGATTTCAACAAATATCGAAAATTAACACACATGAATAGTGACCTAATTATTTTTTTGCAATAATATGCAAAAGTATTTTGAACTTACCATACTGGTAACCGTTACTACTTTAAACATTTACAGTACCGGATCTATTATAATTGTCAAATATTTATAAGAATTCAAAAATTACTGGAGATATTGTTATTATTTATTTAATCAATCTTCGAATCATCAATATTATTTCTCTTTCGGAGAGCGTATACCGAACGTAGTACTGGAACTAACTGATCACTGCAATTACATTCGTCCTTGTGTTCATGTTGTAATAGGCTTAGAATATACAGTATGATTTTCATTTGATCATACTTTTTTTTTCCTTGCCTATTTCTTTTTACATTTAAATTTCGCAAGTACTTTTTTTCTAAAGTTGCAGAGAAATTATTGAAAGTCACTTGGTACTGTGTCATTTAAATGAATGGAAAGTATGAATTTCTTCGAGATATTAGGAGAAAAGGAACAGTTAGGACGAATGAAAGAATTTGTCAGCGCTTTTTTTTTTGATACTAAATGATGAAATTTGAGATAGGTGGGATAGAGCATTTGAGATAGGTATTACATATTGATTAACATATTGCTTCCAATTGAATGTTTGTGTTAGGATAACGTTAACAACTTTAGGCTATCTTTAGTTTTGTCATGGACACAATGAATGGTCATTTTTGTCGTTGTCACAGAGATATCTCTTATAATTTGTTATTTCAGGATGATGTTATATTTCTGGTTGTTAGATATTACTTTGTCATGCAGCATTATCACCATCGCTGGTTACCGCTACCACTACCAACCACCCAGTCAACAGTACGCACAGTATCCACAAACGCCAATGCAACTGCCAATGCAACTGCCAATGCAACTGCCAATGCAACTACCAATGCAACCGCCGCAGCCAGCGGCACAGCCAGCACCTTCTCAAACTGGTTATCGGTCAACATGTTGTCATTCTCCATCAGCTTCTTACCTATCAAAGCCAGGTCCACTACCACAACCTCCAATCCCATCTCCGACAACACTCCCACAAATACCTCTTCTACCATCACTACCACTACCACCAGAACTCTGTCCACCCGCACCACCTCCACCTCCTTGTCCACCTTGTCCTTCTCCACCACCTCCGCCTCCATGCCCAGAACCTCCACCACCAATACCTTGTCCACCTCCACCACCACCAATACCTTGCCCAACTCCACCACCTCC